TTTTGTGTTCCTCTTTAAGTTGGTTGTTGACAAAGAAAGCTCAATTACAAGCACAAGTGATAGCAGGTGCAATTGAAAAGAAAGACTTTGGTGGAAATTTTTTAAACATTTGACCAGTGGGCTTGAAAAAGCAGCAGGAGTACCAGACAATGTTCAAAGTTTCGGCTGGGCTATGCCCAAAATTATTTATGCTTCCCGAACACATTCTCAATTATCTCAAGCTATGCATGAATTAAAAAAAACATCATATAAACATGTAGCTACTGCTGTGTTGGGATCTCGAGATCAACTTTGCATTCATCCTGAAGTTTCTAAAGAAACAAGCACTTTTAACAAAATTCACATGTGTCATTCCAAAGTAAAATCAAGAACTTGTTTTTATTACAATAATGTTGAGGCCAGGTAAATATCATATTCGAACATAAAATTTTTAATCAAGAGCAGGAAAAACAAGTAGTACATAAATTCTAATGTTTTTTTTTGTTTTTTTTTTTTTTTTTTTTTTTTTTTTTTTATTTTTTTTTTTTTTTTTTTTTTTTAGAAAGGATGATCCTATTTTTAAACAGGAAGTTTTAGACATAGAAGATTTAGTTAAAGTTGGACAGAAACACAAATGTTGTCCATATTTTTTGGCAAAGGAATTGAAGCAGAGTGCAGATATTGTTTTCATGCCTTACAACTATCTATTAGATCCAAAAACACGAAAATCGCAGGGTATTGATTTACAAAATACCGTAATTTTGTTGGATGAGGCTCACAATGTTGAAAAAGTTTGTGAAGAAGCAGCGTCATTACAAGTATGGAAACAGATATATTTTCTTCAATTTTTTATCTATATATATTCTAATTAAGAATGTATATATTTATATAGATAAGCAGTACAGATGTTGCCATGTGTATCGATGAAATAACTGCTGTAATGCAAGATATGGCTAAGGACACAGATCAACAGAATGACTTTTTATTAGAGAATAATGTTCCGAAGGATTTTACAGCAGAGGACTTGTGCATCTTAAAAGCGATGTTTCTGGAATTGGAAAAAGCAATCGATTCTATCGAATTAAAAACCGTAATGAAGGAGATACTTTTCCTGGTGGATTTATTTTTGAATTACTTGAAAAAATTGAAGTAGGTGATTTTTAATTTTAAATAAACTTAGAATGACATGCATATTATTTTTATTATAGTTTAATTTTTATAATAGTTAACACATGGTAAAGAACAAATGGTAATAGAAAAACTAGAAAAGATTGTTTTATATTTAACAACTACCAGTACATCACCGTTTGCAAGAAAAGGGAACGCATTACAAAAATTCAGTGACTTATTGAGGACTGCTTTTAATAGCGGTGCATCTATTGCGCGTCACAAAGAAAAAGTGAAACGTTGTTACAAAGTTTACATACAGATGGAGGAGCAAAAGAAAACATATAAAAATGACGTTTGGGAAAGCAAAAAGACAACTAAAACGGATGGGAAACTTATTAGTTACTGGTGTTTTAGTCCTGGTTTTGGGTATAAATAATTATTTAATGAAAAAATATTATTTTATAATTATATGAATATTATAAAAACATACATTTTACAGTATGGAGCAAATGATAGAACAAGGAATACGTTCAGTCGTGCTTACAAGCGGAACATTATCTCCATTAAAACCATTTATATCAGAACTCGGTATTCCAATCGCGGTTCAGTTGGAAAATCCACATATAGTAACAAAGGAACAAGTATGTGTAGGTGTTCTTAGTCAGGGACCAGATAGTCATCCGCTCAATTCGTCTTACAACACAAGGTAAGCGTTATAACAGTGGCGGTGAAATTTTTTTTTATATTTTTATATTTTTACAGAAATGATCCAAAGTATATTGCATCCCTGGGAAGAACGGTGTTCAATTTCAGTTGCATCGTTCCTCATGGATTGTTAATATTTTTTCCTTCCTATCCAATTATGAGGAAATGTAGGGATGAATGGCAGAACATGGGTTTATGGACGCAGATAGCTGAGCGCAAAGTAAAAAATATTCAATATGTTTATCAAAATAGTATAATTTGCGATGTATTATGTATGAAATTAATTACTGGATAATAGTCCATTTATGTAGAACCTAATTCCAAAGAAGGATTTGTTAACGTAATGAACGAGTATTATCAAAAAATTAGAGATCCATCCTGCAAAGGAGCTATTTTTATGGCGGTGTGTAGAGGAAAGGTCAGCGAAGGTTTGGATTTTGCCAATGCAAACGGCAGAGCTGTATTAATCATTGGTCTTCCATTTCCTCCTTTGAAGGATCCGAGAGTTATGCTGAAGCAAAGATATTTAGAAGAAATAAGGACTGCAGAAAGACAAGTATATACCATATTTATATAACTTTGCTGAAATTTTATGATAAGATGTAATGTGATAAAACTAATGAACGAACTTAATATTCAGAGTCTGAGTGGACAAGAATGGTATCAACTTGAAGCATCTCGAGCCGTTAATCAAGCTATTGGTAGAATAATCAGACACAAAAGTGATTATGGCGCTGTGATATTGTGTGATTGTAGATTTGAAAATCCAAACTTTAAAAAACAATTGTCCGCTTGGCTTAGGCCATATATAAAAAAGTTCACAAATTTTGGGATGATCACGAGAGAGTTAAGGGAATTTTTTAAAAATGCAGAAAATACAGTAAGTTTTTTTCTTTTGATTAAATATATTTAAGTATATAACGATATTTTTTAGTTTATTAATAATTTCAGTTACCACAGCCTAGTAATACTTATGCACAATATGGAAATAGTGAAATATCATTGCCTGCTGTGGGTGCTACCTTTGAAACAACAGTATCTCTCAGACAAAAAGCATCAAATAGTTCGGTGACAGAAGACTTGACTAAAAGTAGTTTTAACATAGATATGTATCTAGATGAAAATGCAAAGGACAAACAAACGAAGCCACAATCTGCTATAAATTTTAGTGCTTGTAAATTAAAAGACAATCAGAGTACATGTGAATTAGCAAAACATCGATTTGATGAACCAACTACGAAAAGAAGAAAAATTAATATTGTATCACCTGGAATTGATTCATATTTTTCTGCTCCTTCGAGTTCTTCATTACCAATTCTAGAAAGTAATCTTACACAAAATGTCACACAAAACGATAAAAATACAAATCAAGATACTAAAAAAACACTAGGAAAACAATATTTGAAAGATGTAAGTAAAAATATGATAATTTAATCTTTATAGAAAAAGGAATTGAAAAAAGAATCTAAAGTCAAATAATGCTTACAGGTAAAACGAGTGTTATCATCGAATAATTATAAAATATTCGCAGCTATGATACAAAGCTATACGCAAAGTGGTGATTTTGACGAATTATTGAAAACATTGACAAGTTTATTTCCTCCGTCTGGGCAACTACGGCATTTGTTTATAGGTAAATCTCGCATATTTATAAATTGAAAAAATGAAATGATTAAATCTATAAAATTATGATTAAAAGATTTTAACAAAATATTTTTATTTTTAGGATTTCAAAGTTTTTTAAAAAAACAACATATTGTAATCTTTGAGAATTATATAAAGAATTTAAAATAATCTTAAAAAGTATTACATCAACTTGAAGTATTAAAGATAATAATGAATGTTAGATACAATATGTATAGTTTCTTTTTTTATTTAAATTTATAAGTTAATTTTTTAATAGGCTAATAAAAGGTTAGAAATCTCCTTAGTAATAAACATTTATTTAAATTTATAAGATCGATTAGATTATTCATGCTGAATGCAAAATGATTCAGGCATCGTTATAGCAAGATAAAAAAAAGTTTAAAAACATAAAGTGTTAGAATTAAATAACTTTTTTTATGCTTTTGTAATAACAGTATAAAACCGATCTTGATGATTAGAAATATCAGTATGTAATTGTGAACACATTATATGTATACATCACATTACTATATGTTTGTATTATACATTAGAGCACTTATTTCATAATCAAATATATTAATAATAATAATAATTAATAATAATAATTTATTATACAAACAGCTCTGTTGTTAATTTATTATATAAAGAGCCCGAAAAATGGGAAAAAATGATTAGTTATGATATATCATACAGTGATGTATCTTGCAAATAATATGCATTATAATAAAAAAAAGAAAGCACTGTTACCATTTGTCGTTAATGATCGTGATTGTGAATGATACTAAAAAATACAGGCATCTTTTCTATTTTTGTTAATTATGTAATATACAATTTGTGAATACTGTCCATTATATAATTGAATGGACCTAAATATGAAAAAATATATACACTCGTATTTCAATACAGCGTGTTTCAATATAACATTTGCAAAGAAAAAATATTCTATTACATCATTAAAAAGAGATGTATATCAACGGAAGTGAACATAGTTTGACTTATTGAGAGAAATTGACTGAAGTTGCACGATCCTCTTAATATAACATAGTAGGTATCCCGAAAACGAGTGTAGAGAAATCCAAGTGTATATTAACATTTATTTATATTTATTTCTTTTTACAATTCCATAGTATGTGTTCCATCTATCTCTTTATTATTGTCAACGTCGCTTTTTGCAAGTGCATTTGCAACAATATCCTGATAATATTCGCCAAACACGCTGCGATTATGCGAAACAAGTATTACAAATCGGGCTGCAACGGCCGTCAATTCCTCTTGCAATGAGGAAAGACCTGGTGGTACTTGCTGGGGCGCGATGGATTGCGATTGAATGATTTTCTGCAGGAACTGTCTAATCCGTAGATCTATAAAAACAATGCATTTATTGTTTTAATTAAAAATTTCAATTATTGTTAACCATTGAAGTCCATTTTTATACTTACTGACGAGATATCTGATTTTATGTTTTGTGTCTATAAGATCAGCTATTTGGCCTTCTAATAGTGTTTCTAATTCTGGTGACAATTCAGAAGCATTAACTTCTCGTAATGTTGCTTTTATATCCGTTTTTATTTGTAATATAATATTTGGCATTGCAGCTTCTAAATCTCTGTAATAAAATAAAAAATTTTATTAAATTTTGAATATAATATAAATTAAAGATAAACTATGTACATAAACGATAAGACACTCTTCCTATATATATATTTAAAAATTTCAAATCTTTTCATATATTTTATTATAATTCATTTTCAGTTATGATTTGACGTACTTGTTCGAATGTACTGAATCTAATAATACATTCAAATGTTCTTTGATATTCTTTTTAAAGCTTGAAACCCCATAAATTGGCGCACCAATTGTGTTATTAATCAATAATATCACAGAACCGACGATGCTCAATCTGCTGGTTATATCACGTAATTCCAAAAGTCTTCCTTGATCCAACATCAATGTCTAAATGAAAAGTGTTCAGTTTATAATAACTTTATCAAATATATAAAATTCCATATTTCAATAAAGTACCTCTGCGTCCGGATTGAAATCCCATTCCAAAAGATCGAGATACGCTTCTGTTAATAGAGAGTGAGTAATTTTTCCTACATTATTAGTACCAGCGCTTGATGAACTTGTCATCTTCTCCGAATCGAAATGTCTCAGTAACCAACTTTCTGTGTATTGCAAACCATTCGAATTAACCTTTAAGAATTCGGCGAACTTTGCCTTCTCATACTCGATACTCGAGGCGATGATATTCGGTCTCATCATCGTGATGGTAAAATTCGCCAAGTCCAATTTCATTAATTGTAATACTTCCATGACACCTTTGAATGTCTCGACGATGTCTATCTGTTGCGATAACTCTGCAATTTTCTCATCTCTCACTGGCGCGCATATTTTACCCATAATAGAGATTATATATTGCGCATAATGACGAAAATCTAATACGCTTTTCTCCGCTTGTTGCTTAATTAAGTCTAAATCAAGGACTTCTCTGATATTTTCTTTGATTCTCGAATTATGTGGTGGTACGAGTTCATCCAGTGTCTGAAATAAATAAGGAATAATGTTGTTGCTTGTTATCTGACGCTCCCCTGCATCGTCACGAAACGAAAATAAATGATTACTTCTTTAATCTCTTTCAATAAAACCAGTGCGTGCGAATAATCTGGCGGATCTTCTGCCAACTGCTCCGCTAATAGATTCCAAAAAGCTTTGTGCATTATTTCTTTTACTCGCCTATGAAAACTACCGTCCTCTGGCTCCAATTTTTGCAGCTGAAAATTCTTATCTACCGCGATTTCGTGCGCTAAGGCCATATTTTTCATTCCATTGGCAGCTTTCATGATTTCATCAAAAGACACAAATTTTGGCGGTGACGCTCCTGTTAATCCACCTATTATAAGATTTGGTGTTGGTTGCCTATATCAAAACAAGGACTTATAACATAAACTTCATATGAAACATTAATTAACAATTTGTAATGACAAGACATTGCTTTCGCTACATATCGATTCTACTTACATACCTACTTTGGACTTCGTTTTGCGCACTTGTATGTACATTAGTATCACAGTTCGTTGATGTACCAGCATTGTTTGCATCACACGTCTGTTCGTCCTCATTCTCTATTTTCTGATTACTGTATAATTATAACAGCAACATTTTATAAATACATTATTTATAAGATGGAAAATAAATAGAAAGATCAACAAAACAACTCAAGTTTGAAATAATTATTAGAAACGAAAATGAGACAGTTTATCGACTATTATGGTTATAAGTGAATGTACAAGAGAATAAATTGAAGTTTAAAAAAAGAGATTATTTGATGTGATTAGTAATGGCAAAATCTTGTAAACACTCCAAATTGTTATCGGACAAAGATAAACTGACCGATATAACAGAGCAGGGATGAAATTTAATAATGCCATGGGTCTCAATAGTTTGCGACTAAATAAAAGACAGCAAAGGGTCACACCCCATATTACTCCAGCACCGACCAAAACTTTGTTCCTGGCAAAACATTACCAAGTCATGTATACTCTTACCAATTATCATATTATCTTCCTAAATACTTTTTGTAGACTGACAAACATCAATTATAACAATGACAAAAATAAATAATTAAATATTAATACACGAATGGCAAAATTTTTATAGAAAAAAGACCTTGAAATTTGCAAAATTTCCTTTCTAAAACGGAAGAAGAGGAGAAACGGCCACCAAAATAAACAAGATAAACAAAACTTGAACGATATATACCTATCTGGCATGGTGCTAAATGTCGATGTATATATTTTCTTTAAAAGACTGGCCGCATGACACCTTCGCACACGGGGTCTGGCTGCTGGTCCGACTTTTAGGCTTCTACACGAGAAGAAGGTCAGCCTGTCTATAAAAAGAACGTTCGCAAGGTAAGGGCGATTATCCGTAAACGCGCGATCTGCGTGTCTTTACCGGAAAGATCTTGCTATTTTTTTTTTTGTCTTCTTTCGCTCACGCAGGTTAATCGCGCGCGGTCGAGCCGCGCGAGGAGAAGCTCCGTACTTCTCGTAGCTCTCAAACCCGCCGGCACATCGGATCTGCCTGCGTACGCGCGTTGGCCAGCATCCCGCGATGATCGACGATGATCCGCGAACGCGAATTTGGAAACAGCTGTGAGATCTATAACATCTCGGACATCTGTCAGATTCGGCCGGAAGTGTCGCGCTGCGCAACGCGCGTTCGAACGTCTTGCAGGTGCAATTGCGAAACTATTCGACCTGTTCCTTCGAGAAAATTGCGCTTTATTTATAAAAAAATAAATCTTGAAAGAATTTAGGAAAAATGTAAAAAAGTGAAAGTAACTTAGATCTGCTTGCCTTAATCTCACTTCTTTATTTGCGATTCTAAGATGAAACATGTTTAGAGGTAGAAGAAAAAACACGAAGTGTACGAAGTGCAATTAAAACAAAGAGATAAAAGAAATGTCAAATGATTTAATTACAAAAATATTTAATTTGAATTTAAAGAAAGAAAAATAGAGAGGAAGAGAGAAACAAATATAAAAATATAAAACAAATATAAAAAACAATGACAAATATAAAAAATATTGAGAACGTAAACTCACGCGACAGAATTCAATTAATGTTTATCATTAGATTTATTTTTTAATGATTTCGATTAAATTCTGAGATTTTTTATTTAATCACTAATTAACTTATATTATTTTATTGATACGGATAAAATTATTGATTTATTACTTCATATAAAATATTAGATTAGAGAGAACGCATTAATCAGAAATTTTATACTTTAAGCAACTACTGATTTCTACTGATTAAATAATCTGTTTAATTATATATATTAGTCAAAGTTTGATCAAAATCGTCTTTAATACATAAATTACATATTTTCCTCAGAATAATTACAGTCTGGAGGACATTGTCTTCCCTCTCTTACAAAGAAAAACGTTGATAATTTTTTATTTTCCTTTAAAAAAATGTGCAAATGTTTCTCTTTAAAATAGAAAAAGAGTGAATGAAAGATAATATTCTATGCAACAACGTACCTTTTGAATCTGACAAACGCTCAGCTCGACTCCGGAACGACGGATAAGAGCGGATGCGTTTTGTATGCAGTTTAAATGGAATCGAAATGCCTTTGTTGCACAAGTTACCCTAATTGGTGGCGTGACTCATTGCCGTCTACCTTGAATTTGCAAGGTAAAATTGAGGGTATTTCTTTTAATCCTTTTGTATGGAGGCAAACATGGGAAAGAATGATATAGAAACATCAGAGTATAATGCACTCGTGCGTTTATGGCAATTTTCAATTTTATTTACATATAAATCCCTACACACATTTCTCTGTTAAATGAATTATAAAATCTAAAAGTATGCATTACAATCAACATTACAATCAATAAAACAGTATCCTAAAAAATAGTGGAATTAAACAATATACGATTTTTACCTTCCTCAAATAGAACGTATTTGGTTTATGTATAAAAGGCACCATTGATAGTTTTATCACCTACACCCTTGTAAAATAATATTAGTATTATAAAACAGCAACTTTAGAATATCAATAAAAGCAATGTACAATATTGCAGAAAGAAATATTTTCGTTGATCTTACAAATATATCCGATAAATACAAAGTGTGTTAAGGTGTATATGGTGTAATTATATATTTAATATTTAGTACGTATTTCTGTGCGTATTTAGCAGCAAGGTACATTAACGTAATTTAACAAAATAGAAGAGAGACATCCTCTTCAGAGATTGGCCGATTTTCCCAAGGCATTAATGTTAATTTTGCATTTGCGCAAGCCGTCTGTCAATCTCTGAGCAAGATCGACATCTACCCGAGCAAAGTTTCGTACGGCCCGCTCAATGATGAACGTTGAAGCGTTGCGCAAACTTGATACCATGTTCTGTACCAATCTTTCTCTAGCTGGCTCATCGAGAATCTTCTTCCAATAAGTAGTGACTTGACTAAAGTCATCGTCATCCACGGGGTCGTAACGGTCCACATCACCAGATACATGGAATGGCGGTGAGCGAGCAGCCGGACATTCCTTCGGGCCGCTGAAGCTATTCGGATAATAATTTGGTGCACCGCCATGATTGTATATCGGCATGTTACCATCCCGCTGATAGTGCATTGCAGAAATCGCCTACAGAATATATTGTATTATATTAATAAATTACACATATTATTCATAAATAATAATATATTATTAATAAAATTTATCTTAATAAATAGTTGATGTATAATATATACAGCGTATAAAATATTATTATATTATATAACGGTCTCACCACGAATGACTATCTCTTTTCATTTCAAAAACTAAAAAAAGATAAATTTACGAAATGTTACCTTGTAAGGGCAATTCACTGCTAATTGAAGATGATTTGGACCCAGACGATGCCTATGAGTGTCCCCATAGGCGAAGAGTCGTCCTTGTAACATTTTATCGGGACTCGGTTCGATACCAGGTACCATATGTGCCGGATCGAAGGCCATTTGCTCCACATCGGCGAAGTAATTTTCAGGATTGCGATCTAATACTAATTTGCCCACTGGTTTCAGTGGAAATTCTGTGTGCGGCCATACCTATACAAAATTCATATATATTTTTCGAAGAATTATCTTCTCTTTAAATTAAAATATCGAATAAATTAAAAATAATTACCTTTGTCAAATCAAACGGATTCCATTTGAAGGTCTTTGCTTGTTCAGCGGTCATCACTTGGATATAAAATGTCCAAGACGGGTACTGACCCCTAGCGATAGCATTATAAAGATCTCTGATTGAGTAATCGGGATCGGAAGCGCTAAGCTCGGCAGCTTTTTCCGCAAGAAGATTCTTGATTCCTTGATTGGTCTGAAATAATTATTAAATATAATTAAATATTATAATCAGAACTATTATAAATAGATCAAATAGCATATTATTTTTCTCAGTTTAAAACAAACGGACCTTGTAGTGGAATTTGCAGTATACCATTTCATTCTTGTCATTTATCAGTTTGAATGTATGAGAACCATAGCCATTCATATGACGATATCCATCAGGAATACCACGATCGCTAAAGAGAAACATAACTTGATGTGTCGACTCGGGTCTGAGGGAGATGAAGTCCCAAAACATATCAGCATCCTGAAAAATATTTTATTAATATAAACTGTGCAATATGATATGTAATGTAATTATCATATGCTAACACAAGGAACATTTTACATAAATGCATTTGATCATTGGATAATCATTATTTGGAAATAACAATCGTAAATTCGATCGAACCTTCAAGTGAGTTGCTGGATTTCTTTTCTGTGTGTGTATAAAACTCGGGAAGAAAAGAGGATCCTTGATGAAAAAGATTGGCGTATTGTTGCCCACAAGATCCCAAATACCTTCTTCAGTATAAAATTTGACAGCAAATCCACGCGGATCTCTACAAACAAAACGATAAACAGCTCAATAATGAGATATTAAGAAATTTTATGTATAATTTTTATTGCCTATTATTATTTCACCATTTGAATTAGTTGTAATAGTTGAGCAAAATATAAATTAAAAAATCGGCATGCAATCCTTGTGAATCATGTTCTCGATTGCATCATATTGGAAACGATGGAAAGTTACTCTACCACAAAAAGCATCTGAGTGCAATAATGCATCATAGATAATTAGACATATATAACTAGATGAGCATAAAGATGATTCATGTATATGTTCTTTACTCTAAGAAACATATTATAAACATTTACAGCAAATATCACGTCTTTATTTCAACAAAATATGCTTGTTAAAATAACTATTATTAATATAATCATTATAATAATTAATAGCGTTATTTATATTATAAAATACTCCATGTATGCTTTCTATGATTTATTTTGCAAAGATGAATCCAACTAATAAAAAAAGTGAATGAGAAACGTAGTTATTTTCTTCGGACATTTACTAAATTATCTGCGTCAGAATTAAATATAATAATAATAATATGCCATCATATAAATTATATTTTTTTCTATTTATTACCTGACAGTATCGGCAGAACCGCTTTCACCACCGACGGTAGAACATCTTACAGCGATAGGAGTCCTCTTTCCAATGCTAGAAAATACCTTAGCTTTGCAATACTTGGTAATGTCATGGGTAACTTCAAAGTAACCAAACGCACCTAAAGAAAAGAAAAAAAATATGTGTAAAATTAATAATTAATAGTAAAGATAATAAGTGAAATATGTATAAATATCAATAATGTAATGTGTCTCTCTCTTTAAGTAATAAGAAATAGAAACGTACCAGCTCCTTTCGCATGTACGACTCGTTCCGGAATTCTTTCTCTGGCAAAATGCGACATTTCGTCCAAGTAAACAAAGTCTTGCAGCAACATGGGTCCACGAGGACCAACCGTGAGACTGGCCTTCTTCTCGGCAATAGGGGCTCCATTGGCGGTTAATAATACAGGTGTCTCACCCTGAAAAAAAATAAAGAAAATTATAAACAAAACGAATAACACATATCACATAATGCAAAATAAGCTTGTTTATAGTACAATTCTCATGAATCATTGTTTAACTGTCAGCAGCATCAATTACAACTAATTTAATTAAAGCTTTCAAAAATTTGATGCTTCAAGGATTACATTCCTATCCTATTCCACATCCTATTAAAAATTATTTAAATGAGAAAACAGTCTCTTAATCGTGTCGCTTTGCAAAAAAAGATTTCACTTTTTTTGTAATTTAATATTACCGCGATGTTCTTTATGTTGTCAAGTCCAAGAGATTTGATGATATTTGAATTATCATGCAAAACGGATAATATATAATAAGATAAAGAATTTAATTATTTTAAAAACTGTCTCTTGGAAAGATCTAAAGAAGAATAGAATTGGCAGGCATAGATATTCGTTTGATGATGGAGAATTTTTTTTTAATCAAAATATAAATATAATAAGTATATAAAAGCCAAATTATTTAATTGATATCCTTGTCAATTTGTATTAACTTCTCTAGATAAAATTAATCGTTTTAACAACGTCTGTATAAAGTTTCGTTACACAATCAGGAAATTTTCTGCCCTTCTGACTAGACTTTTTCTTTTTTTTCCAAAATACGAAGAAAAAACCGCGACGGATCGTACAACCCTCGTCAGAATTTATTTCGCTAATGAACAATCTAGAAGCGAGCACGAAAGCTTTTTATACGATAAACATCGCGATAAAATCATAATATGATAAACACAATCTTTGCCGATCTTGATCGATTGTGAGTATGCAGGATCCGCAAATGGCGCTTTCGAAATCCTATCTAACATCTAACAGCAGCGACCCACTTCGCCACCTTGTTACGGTAATTATCATTCACTGAAGTATCAGTAGTGACATAATCTCGCTGCACTTTGATGCTCACAACGTTATCGTTTCCTTTTTTTTCTTTTTCAGTTACAAAACATTAATTTCGCTAGGCAAGCAATTGCCGCAATTTTATCAAAAGTCAGTAGATAACTGATTACACCTACTAGGATAGACCGGACAGATATATCAAACGCAAAAAGTACACTTGCTACAAGTCACGCATTATAAGCAGACACTGTGTTACATAACGCTTCGAGAATAATGCTATCAGGATTATGATTCATATTTTTCAGATGTACATAAATTTTTCTCCGTGATAAATATTTTTGATAACCGAGTAGTCGTTTTCGTTATCCATTATCCAAACATATTTAAATAGTTTATGATAAAAAATCGATCAGTTATAGAAAGTTATAGAAATCAGTTATAGAATATTATAGAATAATCAAAATCATAATATCAAAATAATCAAAATGTAATTTCTATTTCTATTTTTTTTAGTATTTACTAGAACTGTTATAATTTGTTTTGATTTGTTATTATTTTTCAAAGATATTCTTATGACGGCGGAATATCAATTTTGTCAATTAACTTCAATTAAGGTAAGATGATTAATTGCCTAATAATTAATTAGATGTATTAACATTTTATTTATAAAAGCGCACAATGTTATCCTTTTTCTTCTACAATGAAAACTTGACTGCTATATAAATACAAAAGATACACACATTAAATATTCATCTCAATATATATCTTAAATATCCTAAATATATATTGTATTGATGATAAATATATTTCATTAATATTTAATAATAATATTTTTATTATTGACTAAAAGATTTTAAAAAGTCTATATTTTTATCATTTCAAGAAACAACTTTCAGAAAATCGCACTACACCAAGGACATTGCATGCAATTACGATTAGTAGCTATTTCTGTACTAGTTGATCAGCAAACGTCATCATTGATTTGCAACTGTATATTAATTACTTTTTTCAAGATACGCCTTGGTATGTGCAATTGCACGATTTTATAGCTCAAAATTGACGAACAATGCGTGTTTCCAGACGTACTATCAATGTTTTTTTTAATGTATTTTTTTATATATTTTTTTTCAAATTGTTGTCGACGACAATAGTGCACTCGGTACGACTTGTTGCTCTTTTGGAATGCAAATTACGCGAATAAATGTACTTTCTTATTTTATGCCACGAACAAGATTTTACCCGAACGTTACGACAAGTGTGTTGCGAGATAAAACGATTTCAGAGTTTAATCGTCCATCTTGTTTAATCCGATAAATACAAATGTAAAAATGTTCGTCGGGATAATATTTAATTTGTCTATATCGATACTTCGTCACGCTACAATGACGCAGTTATTTTCTTGTCAATCTGTATCGTTAAAAAATATAATTTACCAGACGAATCGTTCGGATCTAAAACAAAAAAAAACAATTCACTTGCTTCTCATATCGTATTTACGAGCGTGATAATAACGGTTGTAATTTCTATCATTAAATGTCCGAAGATATACAATGAAGGTCGCGAAATGTTAGCGTGGAATGTTAGCGCACAGAAAGAAAGAGAGAAAGAGAGAGAGAGAGAGAGAGAGAGAGAGAGAGAGAGAGA